AAATGATAACAAAATCCGTGGTGGCTTAATACTGAATTTTCAAGTCAAGGCAAAAACCTGAAATGATAACAGTCTGTAGTTGTTAATATGTGAAACCAATCATCCGATTGTTAATAATTTCCAGCTTTAATGAGATCTCATACCAAGTTTCATCAGGATTGGATAAAAAATGTAGTCTCTATCAGGCCTACAAGCCAAATTAGATGCATTGAACTAATTCAAGGGCAATAACTCCAGAACAGTTCATCCAATAGTTACCAATTTCGAACTTGACTGAGATCTTGTCCATGTATAAATGCATACCAAGTTTCATCATGAGCAGATAAAAAATGCACCATGTATCATGACTACAAGCCAGATTTGAAGCGTTTTTACAAAGTCAAAGACAGCAACTCCAAAAACGTTCATAAGATTAAGTCCAAATTGAAACTTCACCGAGATCTCAATATATTTTAAAGTTTCATCAAGATCAGATAAAAACTGTAGTCTATAGAGTGCCTTCAAGCCAAATTTTAGGTATTTTTACTAAGTCAAGGGCAATTACTCTGAAATCTTTCATCCAATTATTACCAATTTCGAACTTGACTGAAATCATTTTGCCTACTTAGTTTCATCAAGAGTGGATCAAATTTGTTGCCTTCATCGAGTATACAAAGCATATTTAATGCATTTTTACTAAGTCAAGGGCAGTAAATCATTCATCCGATTATTACCAATTTCGAACTTGATTGAGGTCTTATCAATATCTACAAGCAATATCAACAAGATCGGATAAAAATTGCAGCCTTTATGAGTTATCCTGCATCCAAACCAAATTTAACACGCTTTTACTAAGTCAAGGGAAATAACACTGAAACCATTCATCCGATCATTACCAATTTCAAACTTGACCGAGATCTCATCAATATATACAAGCATACTAAGTTTCATCATGATCAGATAAAAATTGCAGTCTATATCATGCATACAAGCCAAATTTGACACGTTTTTACTAAGTCAAGGTCAATAACTCTGAAACCGTTCATCCTATTATTACCAATTTGAAACTTGACTTCTTGAGTTCTTGATTGAGTTCTCATCAATACATACAAGCATACCAAGTTTCATCAAGATTGTTTAAAAACTGTAGCCTCTATCGTGCCTACAAGAAATCAAGAAATGTGGACGGACCGACCGACGGACAGGGGTGACGGCAATATACATCCACATGGAAATGTGGGCGTATAAAAAGTGGAAGCTAGAGTTGAAGTGCTGAAGAAATGCTGCAAAAATAAACAGAAAGTGATTGAAAGATTGAGAAACAAATTATAACTTTATATAGACACAGCTTTATGGAACAACAATCATTGGTTAAAGTTTTAGGCAACGTTTTGACGTGTTTCCCCCGTCGTCCTCAGGCACATAATGAGAAGAAGTGATGGGCAAACTATATACTTCTTCTCATTATGTGCCTGAGGACGACGGGGGAAACACGTCGAAACGTTGCATAAAACTTTAACCAGTGATTGTTGTTCCATAAAGCTGTGTCTATATATCGTACTCACAATTGCTAAATGCCATTCAAAGACTAAATTATAACTTGTCAAGATTCGAGGAAGGTGCAGGATCTGAGTTTATCTAGCTATTTTCATTTTTTTCTCCTTTGCCTCTATTGCTATTTTAGAAAAAAAAACTGCTAAACTCAGATGAAAAAGAGCTATTTCATAAAATTTCAAACTCATCCATTTTCGGGTCCATTTCCAGCTATTTCTAGCTAAAATTTTGCTAATTTAGAAAGTCTTATTTAGGATTGATTATATTTGAGAATATATAGCTATTAGAGGCTATTTTCGAAAATTTTGATAAAATAAGTCCAAACTTTTCTGTTTTCAGCTCTATTTTCAGCTATTTTTAGCTCAAATTGTGCTATTTTAGAAAGTTTTATTTAGTGTTGATTATATTTGAGAATAACTATCTATTAAAGGCTATTATAGAAAATTTTGATAATTATTTTAAGTCCAAACTTTTCTATTTTCAGCTATTTCTAGCTCAAATTGTGCTATTTTAGATAGCTTTATTTAGTTTTGATTATATTTGAGAATAACTAGCTATTAGAGGCTATTTTAGAAAATTCAAAACTTTTTCTTTTTTCAGCTATATTTTCAACTATTTCTAGCTAAAATTACGCTAATTTAGAAAATAATTGAAACTAGAGCTGTGAACAGGACTGAGCGTGCCCCTTGATACTTTGCCTGATAGCTGTAAGACTTTTTTGAACTTCAAACCCTCTCAAGCCCAGTGTTGACTCGACCACTTTTAGTAAAGAGCCAAGCTAAATGAAATGTTTTGTGAAAGGGTAAATTCAATCTTATATCAATATAACTTATCGTATGGTTATTTTAATAGCTTCATGGTAGCTATAATATGTGTGAAATGTGAACATTATGTGACGGAATTTCTTTACTGATATAAATAAGATCTATAAGTGTCCCACCTTCAGTAGTGTAATGCTGAACAAGTTGTTGAAATCAAATTTTTGAAAACAATTTAGTATAGACAAATGACCCTCCAAGATATTTTGGCTGAAATCCGCCATAATAACATAGTCTGAACCAGATTCTTGTAATTCAACTAATAATCTTTCTAACATTGGGAGAAATAAATCTAATCGATAAACGGGTGGTCTATAGATAACAATTTCGTTAATATTTTTATCCAAAATATTCAAAGCAATGTGTTCTATAATCAAAACTCCCAATTTAAAATGTGACATTTG